TGGACAGCTGTATGTGGCCTGTTCACATGGACAGCTGTATGTGGCCTGTTCACATGGACAGCTGTATGTGGCCTGTTCACATGGACAGCTGTATGTGGCCTGTTCACGTGGACAGCTGTATGTGGCCTGTTCACGTGGACAGCTGTATGTGGCCTGTTCACATGGACAGCTGTATGTGGCCTGTTCACGTGGAAAGCTGTATGTGGCCTGTTCACATGGACAGCTGTATGTGGCCTGCTCACGTGGACAGCTGTATGTGGCCTGTTCACGTGGACAGCTGTATGTGGCCTGTTCACATGGACAGCTGTATGTGGCCTGTTCACGTGGACAGCTGTATGTGGCCTGTTCACGTTTCGAAAAACCTTCTAATTTATTTGTGCACGCACCAGACGGAAAAAAATATATATTTTCTATTTAAAAATTATTCCAAAAACGTAATTAAAACACAAACACTTTTTTTTCTTTGAGTGGCATTGCAACTAGGTTTGTTTATAGTCTTGGTTTGTTGAGTGTCTTGGACATTATAGATATATATTATATATTTAGTAGCGCTTAACCAATGGTTAGTTCTTTACACTGGGTTTGCGAAAATACCCGGTGAGTCCAAGGGTTACCAAAAAAAAAAACAAAAAAAAAACAAAAACAAGTAAACTTCTCATTTTCTATAATGTATGCTGGTCTTTAAATAATAGGCCCGCCTACAGACAGTCCTACACCCTACCTGCCGGTTTTTAAACATTAGGCTCAGGGCCGGATTAAGCCATCTTGGTGCCCTAAGAACAAACCCACATGGGTGCCCCCTACTGCCCCGGGCCCCCGATCCTCCACTGACTGCTTGTTTGTTCAATCATCATTATCATCGCCTGTCGTCCCGTCTGGGGCATAGGCCACAAACAAAGGCTCTCCAGGCATCCCGGTCTCGGGCAAGTCTCTCCAACTGTCACCAGTTGTGCCCACTATCTCAGCAGCAACTTGGACAGTTTTTTCCAGTTTCGAACATGGTCCTTACGTTCCATATTCCTAGACTGGTGGTGGTCCTAGTGGAGAGGATGGTTGTCCGCCGGTTGGTTTCCTGTTGGCTTTGGCCACCCAGCTTCATTAATTCTCTGTTGGGAGACCCATCCTTTCCAAGGTCCGAGTTTCCTTTTGAAATCTTTGTGCGTGTTTTTGTAGCAGGGCTTTTTTTACAGGGAAGGGTTGCTAGCCCTTCGCCCAACCCTCCTCCTTTCTCACCCGGGCTTGGGACCGGCTACGGCGGAGTTTGTTTGTTCAATATTATGCAACAAACTAACAAAGAAAAACAGTTGTGAAATGTAAACACATATGTTTGCACTGCTATCACTCATATAAAACATAAAATAAGGTATTTCTGTATTAAAATTAATAGCTAATTAATTGTGTAATAATAGTAGACAAACATACTTAAACTTTAACTTTTTTTGATTGATAAGAAATTCAGAGAGAGCACACATTTACATTTTAAAGTTCTTTTTTCTAGATTTACGTCTGGCAAAGTTTTTGATTTTGCGCAACACGTCTGCCTCAATCATCAGCAAAGATAAGGAATCAAGCCTTTCTTGTTTCATTGTCGATCTTCTTGGATTTTTTGTACGTTTCAACAGAGAAAAAGACTTGTGGTGCCCCCCCCCCCCAATGCTTGGTGCCCTAGACACGTGCCTTGTATGCCTAATGGTTAATCCAGCAAAATATGTTGTGTAGGGTGAGGGCTGGTTGTGAAACGTAAACAGCCATACTAGAAGCAATATATATATATATATATATATATATATAAAGAGGCTTACATACAGACTAAAAGATATATAATGTAAACACACAAAATAATAAAGGGAAGTAATTGTAATTTTAAAAAAAAATTCTTTGACTTATCTCTCTTGATAACCAATCTTCATGCTATTGATGTTACTGATAAATATATTATAAAATGTTGTGACTAAAATTGAACCTGAAGAAGTAGAAAAATAAATAAATAAATAAACTGAACAATAATTAAAAGCTTATTTTAAGATTTAAAAGCTTGAATAAATTAACATTTAAGCCGTTGCTCATCCAGCAGTATGGTCACGTGGTTAAACACTGGGATTTTGATGACTCATTATTTATAAGGCTTATTATAATCCTATACAAAATAAGCGCTTTGATCTCCTTCTGTGTCGACTATATACTTTAAGAATAATGTTCAACCCCGTCAGCTTTGGGCTGGACTTCCTGTTTAGAGAAGGAAGACATAAGTCAAGCGTTTTTGTTTTTTTAATTTGGTAATTAATCCAGTAGGCCTATAGTAGGCCTATAGTAGGCCTATAGGCTATAGTTAAACCAATCCTATGCCTATCTACTATCTACTAATATAAATAGGCCTAAAGGAAATATCCAGTTCAAATTACCCCCACTCTCGTCCTTCTTTTTTTTATCCAAACCTGGATATCCTTTACATCGGAAGTTTTCGAAGTTAAATATAGGCCTATATTAGCAATTGAGCGGTTTTTCCAGTTGCGCAGACATATTCTTAGTCTCAGTCTGGGACCTTATTGAAATTGATCC